TCTGCTCCAGGAAGGGTCTCCAGAATAGGACTTGCCCATCAGCAGCCAGTAGAGCTGGCAGCAGATTCGGACAGTGAGGAGGTTGGGGAGGAACACAAGCCAGTCCTGGAGTCTGGGGAAGGCTCTGATGAGGGCTCTGTGTTGGAGGCAGAAATGGGGAAAGGGCCGCCAACAGTTCTCAGCTGCCTTCGGAGTCAGACATCAGTGAGGCGGACGAACAGCTGGAGCCTGTTCCCAGTGTGCACATGCGCAGAGTTGTCAGAAAAAGGGAGCAGCTAAGGAACAAGGGTTGACTTGAGAGTAAGGCCACAGGTGGACTATGAATGGCTCTGGAGAAAATAAAAGAGTGAAAGGGGAGTGGAGTTTGCAGGAGACAATTAGTTCCCTTAATTGATTTGTGACTCTCTGAGACTCCTTGCCACGTTTTGCAGATACCAGCCTGGCAGCTCTCCAAGCCAGATAAGGTCTGTGATTGTCAATCCCCCCTTGAAAGACTTTGCTGGATGTGAATGAGAGGAATTCACAGTAACTTAATAAAAAGGGGTTTTTGTCAGGGCAAGGAGTTTGCTTCATGGTTTGGGGACTGGCTGTTTCTCCCACCTTGTCTCTAATGCCATCTCCTCTATGCTTCCCTTTGGCAGCCCTAGCCCAAAGCCCAAGCCAGCATTGCCAGCTGTGGCCAAACAGCGCCCAGCCTCGCCAAGCCCAGGACCCAGCACTTCACATCGGTCAAGCCTGGCTCGCAGTGCTCAGTCTTCACCCAAGAGGCGAGTTCGCAGGGAGCCCGAGGGCCAACCAAAGGCCCGGGAACGCAAGAATGAACCGAAGGAACATGGGGCAGCTTCTCCAGCCCCAGAGGAGAGCTTGAAGACAACAGGGAACAGTGAAACACCAGCAGGTGGGACATAATTGGTTTTAGTTAACCCTGAATTAGGGGAAGCGGTGGCTTAGTGGCTAAGACCCTGAGTTTGTCCATCAGAAAGGTTGGGAGTTCAGCAGTTCGAATCCCTGGCAGCGCATAACAGAGTGAGCTCCCGTTACTTGTCCCAGCTTTTGCCAACCTACCAATTCGAAAGCAAGTAAAAAATGCAAGTAGAAAAATAGGGACCATCTTTGGTGGGAAGGTAACAGCGTTCCGTGCGCCTTTGGCATTGAGTCATGCCGGCCACATGACCACAGAGACATCTTCGGACAGTGCTGGGTCTTTGGCTTAGAAAAGGAGATGAGCACCGTCCCCTAGAGCCGGAAATGACTAGCATGCATGTGCAGGGGAAGAGACTCTAGTAGCTGATAGATTTTCCATAAAAGAGGACAGAGAAACTGGCAGGATCTGAAGACACTGTTATTATACCATGTGATAATCAAATTTCAATAGTCCTCATAGTGTCTGTTTCCCGACCTGGCCTCTCTCATAGGGACATCGTTATAATGTCCACTCTGCAAGGTAAGCTGAGATGGGCTGCATCCAGACAGCCTCCTAAACCATCTCAGGTGAAGCTCAGATGCCTTTATCTAGCTTGGACAGAATCTATGGAGTTTCTCAGTCATCCAGGTCATGGTTGTCGCAAAGGTGCTTTTTCAAGAGCCAAATGGACTTTCTGGTTTTTCTTTTGAAGACGTTTCGCTTCTCATCCAGAACTGAAGAAGCTTCTTAGATGAGAAGCAAAACGGCTTCAAAGAAAAACCAGAAAGTCCAGTTAGCTCTTGAAAATGCACCTTTGAAGAAGTTAGGAGAAAGGTGGGGAAGGAAAAAAATGATTAGAAGTGGAAATTTTGTGAGTGCCTAAGAGAAAACAGATAAAAGAGGAAGAAGGGGAGAAAGAGTTGTATTAGTAGATTAAAGGGAATAGTCGTACGATTGGTATTGTTATGCAACTAATTAAGAAATAAAGTAATTATAGTATATTGTTAATTGTAGAAAAAAAAATGAAAAGAAATGCTCCCTATGTTAAAATGTAACTAGAGGATATATATATATTGCTTAAAGTAAAATAGACTAATATAGAAATATGAAATGATAATTTTGGTGTAATTTTTGAAGGGGCAATTGAAGATACTGTTTATGTATTAAGAAAAAAACAAGTACAAAAAATGGAAAAAAATAATTTGGCTGAAAGTGAAAACCAAGCTGTGATGTAAAATGGATTGTGTAAATGAGAGGATGTAAAAGGAAAGAGCTGGTCAATGCTTTGTTCCTATAATATGTATAAAGTTGTATTAAAAAAAAACTTTGAAGAAAAAGAAGAGAAAATGCACCTTTGGGACTAGCTTGGATAACGCTAACCATGGTTAATTTGGGGGGGGGGCTCCTCCTGTTAGGTAAAGCATGTCACCTTGGTTAGTTTAGCAATAACTCAGCCTCAACTTAAGAGCTTTGTGACTATCCAAAACCACTGAAAAAGTAGTCTCTGGGCTACCTTAACCATCCCAGAGCCTCATCACAATCAAGCCAACCTACATCTTCCCTTCCATTATGAATGTGATGCCCGGGTGGAGATACTGGTGAGCGGGTGGGGTGGCTCCTCTTGGGAGAAATGGCCTTAACCCTGTGTTTGGCTTCCCATAGAGATCACTGCCCCCTCTGGGGCTGCCAGCCCGATGCCTCCACCTCCTCCCTCAACGCCAGCCAAGCCAATGGCTGGCACCACAGACCGAGAAGAAGCTGCTAGATTGCTATCTGAGAAACGGCGGCAAGCCCGGGAACAGCGGGAGCGGGAGGAACAGGAACGGCGGGAGCAAGAGGAGCGGGAGCGGTGAGTTTTCCAGTGGAGCTAAAGCAAAGTTTCTAACCCTCGTGGAGGAGGATGCTATTATTTGTGTTCACAGAGTTGTGTTCTGACCTAGGCTTCCCAAAATCCTGAAGCAGACTCCTTGTCCCAACAAAACCCCTTTTTTATTAAGCTAATTTGAATTCCTCTCATTCATACCCAGTAAAGCCCCGGCAAACAGTCTTTCAAGGGTGTATTTACAACCACAGACCTTATCAGGCTTGGAGAGCTGCCAGGCTCTTCCAAACGCCATGCTATACAAGGAAATACTTGGCAAGGAGTCTCTGAGAGTCAGGAACAGATCTTCACCCTAGTGAATTGAACTAATTATCTCCTGCAAACTCCACTCCCTTTTTGCTCCTCTTTATTCTGGATGGGAGGGGCCATTCACCATCCATCTGTGCCTCTATTCCTGAGTTGGCCCTTGTTCCTTAGCTGCTCCCTTCTCCTGGCAACTCTACGCATGCGCACATTGGGAACAGGCTCCAGCTGTTCTTCTGCGCCACTGATCTCTGAACCCAAAGCCAGCTGACAACTGTTGGACGGCCCTGGCCCCATCTCTGCCTCCAATGCAGAGCCCTCGACAGAGCCTTCCCAGATTCCAGGACTGGGCATATTCCTCCCCAACCTTCTCACTGTCTGAATCTGTCACTAGCTCCACTGGCTGCTGGTAGGCCACAACAAGTTGAGCACAATGAGCCTTCAAAAAATGTTCCATGTCACCATCTCATCTCATTCTAGGTCGAGTGTCTCATCCCTTAGGGAAGAGATGAGATACTCAACTGAGAGTGGGTGAAACGAGATGGTGACATGGAACATGTGCAAAGTTTTATTGTTATCTTTTCATGACCTGAGTTAACCTTCGGGAATGCAAGCGTATTGTTCCTGGAGCATGCTAAAATGCCCTTAGCGGGTGCTTTTTCTCCTTTTCGTGGTTTATGCTTCAAACTTGACTCTTGGCCTCTGGCAGGCGCCAAGCAGAAGAGCGGGCTCAGCAGGAAGCTAGAGACCGCCTGCAGCAGCAGGTTGAGCTGGCTAGGCAGGAGGAGGAGCTGGCCCGCCAGGAGGAGCAGGAAGCCCAGGAACGGGCTCGGGCAGAGCAGGAGGAACAAGAACGGCTTCAGAAGCAGGTATGTTACAACTGTTCTGACCTAGGCTTCCCCAAAAACCACGAGGCAGAGTCCTGGTCCCGACAAAACCCCTTTATTAAACGAATGATAATTCCTCTCATTCCCATTCAGCAAAGGCCTGGCAAACAGTCTTTCAAAGGTGAATTTATGACCACAGACCTTATCTAGCTTGGAAAGCTGCCATGTACATATTTTCCAAATGAAATGCTGTGCTAGGAAAGACTGGGCACAGAGCCTCTGAGATTCACGGACAGATCTTCACACCCCTGAAACGAATCTAACTACTGAATGAACAGATTATTTCCTGCAAAAGCCCCCTCCCCTTTCGCTCCTCTTTTATTTCCTATGGGAGGGGCTATTCACTGTCCATCTGTGACTTTACTCCCAAGTCTCCCCTGATTTCTGACTTGTTCTTTTCTTCTGGCAGCTGCCAG